CTACTTAGGCCCTGGCGAAAGATTTCAATGACTTGGAAAATTCAGGTTTTTGCAACCTATCGAATTCGATATAAGGGCTCTTACTAAACCGCCAGCAATTCCCACTCAACAAATAACTGAGCAAAACCGGTCTCAAAACGCCAAGCGTGGGGCGGGTGTTGCTCAGTTCCATCCACCCTCAGTCATCCTGTTTACAGGATTGAGCGACTATTATCAATAAAGGTTTTTCCCAACGAACTTCCCACAGACTACGGCAGCACGTGGACAATTTCCGACAATGGCTGGAAACTTTTTCCACCAATTAGGCATACTCGAGTTCTTTAATTGTGCGATAATCGGAAGTTGCGGTGATTGAAGTAAACAGTACGTGACTCGACGCGATAATCGACCGACCGTTCAGAAGATAGACTGTGATAAACAGCTCTAAAGCCTAAAATAGGCATTGCTTTATAAACAAGTCACTAGTAACAAAACTATTTGAAATTTGACGTTAATTCAGTGACAATTCCATTTCCATAGGCTCGTGCGCGTGGGACGAAGGAAGAGTGCGCCATACAGAAAGTACTAAGTAAGGAGCAGCAGCACTGCATTTCACTAGAGTCACGGAAAGGTCTGGTTGAGGCGATATTTCGCCTGATTATGACTTTTGCTAAAACAAGCTGCATCGCTTAATGTAGGACTGTATACTTTTATTGCTAAACGGGACATCTTTAATTTAAGCAATCATGTAGATCACGCAGCGCCAGACCTTCGATGGATTTCAGAACGAAAAGCGGGAATATATTTTCTGAATAGCATTTACTCTGGGCATCCGTATACTATCTAAGTTGACCTTTGAAATGTCATTTCAGAATGAGAAACATATAAGCACATGTCGAACAATATTATCGTAAACGACACCATCCCTTCAGAACACCAAATAACATGGGGCCAGCTCTGTGCTCTGTCAAGACTAGGTTTATATTTATCATTGAACTAATGCATATTTCTTTTTGCTTCGATCTAATATTCTACTCATTGGTCTCGATCTGGTATAACGAGACGCTCAGCTTTTCAAATATTCGCATGAACGAATCTATCACGCTCTTTCCAGTAGATCCAATTTTGGGCCATATGAAAATCATGTTTTCTGCAACCGACTACGTGAGATTCTGGAAATAGTGCCTGAGCCCACTCCGGTAGGATGAGGCGGTGGCACTGCCCGCCAATCGCCAAAGATATCATTCCACACCAAAACGTCACGAAGTGCTACACTTCCCTAAATCCCTCAGTCTGGGTGAAAGCTGGGGAGATGCTTGCAATAGGTCAGGAGGGTTTGCATCCCAAATGAACTGCCAAACAATTACTCTCAAACGCTCAAAGACGAATGGAAACCAGGAAAATATGTACAGGCTACTGCATCGACCAGAACAGCACCTACGACTCTGTAAATCACAGGATGCGACTGGTAAACGGCCCAGAACCTCATCAAGAACTTGGTGGCCATAATGCACGAACATTACCTCAGTACGCATTTATCGATGTGTACATTACGGAAATAGAGTAGTTCAAGACAAACGTGATTGAAATAT